CTGTTGTATTATTTCATTTTTGTTTCAGATTACGGTTGACGGATCCATTGTGTTTCCTCCCTCTTACGAAGAAAAGATATTAGTGTTTAATAACACTGGGATATCTACTGCAAACATATATATCAGTGAATGCCTCGCACCTTCATCGTACACTGATGAAGTAGATTCAATCATTAATGCCACCTATGGTTATGAAAGTTTCAAATCAACATGGGCGATGGCAGTGTCGTGGAGTATTGTAAGGATTAGGCTATTCTATTTACTGTATAGATAGTTGTATTATTAAGCAATAGATCGTTTTTAATGGCGATCCGTTCAGACTGCCACCGAAAATCAACCGACGACGTCGAGTCGTCTAGATAAGGAACGGAGTGCCCGGTTTTAAATGCACTGTGACCTGGAGTGTTGTATTACTAAGTATTTGCCTTCTAATCTCTGGGTTTAATTCCTCTGAGAAGAGGGCTTTTCAAGATTAAAAACAGTCCACTCCGCATATAAGCCTCATAAAAATGGTTTATAAAGCATCATCCATCCTGTTTAGTCTGTTACCGTAGTTGCCAATTAAATAACAGAATAATATAAACGATTGCCATCTGTATGTATGGCATTGATCGTCTTCAAAATTTCCTGGCACATCTCAACGAGCAACACCAAGCAACCAACTATACCATGGATGCAGAACATGACCGATCTCCTCCAATGGACTTCTCTTTTGCGTGTACCCACACAGAAAGATTTAACAGCCGATAACAAATCTTAAACACGACTTAAAGAAAAACCGAGCTCATTGAAAACGAGGATGATTGGACATATCTATATTAACCACTCATTCAACGCAGAGCATTGTGGAAAGATGCCAAACTAATCACATCTATTTCATTTGATCTAACTTCAAAAAGTTTTGGGGACGGGGTTTTTACAGGGTTAAAAAATGTCTATTTCAAAAATGTGTAATACGATTAGTTTGTTTACATGTATTGCTTTCCGAAAATACAATAACAAAATCATCAAACAACAAAATTACCAAATCAAGTATTAACTTACAGAAGTACAGAAAAAAAAATAACACAAGCAATTTAAACCGGAAGAGTAGGGGATAGATATATTAGCCAGAGGCTTGTTTCCATAGGGTTCCTCAAAGTATATGAACGAAGTACAGCTTAATTGGTTTTTCAGAACCTGGTTGCAAAGTGGTTCCACAATCATTGGTGGTGTTATTTTTCAAATAGTACACGGTGTTGAAGCATATCTGGTACTGGTGGTACGAGCATAATGCGCCTTTTCATTGAGGTTATAAAGCGCAATTGAAAATAACTTAGATGGACAAATTTTGCAAGCTCGCATTGCCACTTTAATACAAAACATGCATAAAGTAAACGTTGCTGATGCATCTTGTTTCATTTTTACCACCAGAATCGAAATCTTTTTCAATGTATCTTAGCCACCGATGGATCGGAGTCATTTTCCTTATATGTTTACAAAAATATTTACAATATTCCGGATGGTGCTGAGGTACGTAAAATCCTTCGTTGTTCTTCTAGCTTTTATATCTCTTCTGATAGTGTTGTCAGCGGTCTTAAACTGCAAGAAAGCGATGCAATTGTGATGGTTCTTCTGCAGTAGATATGTTCTATTTCCTTGGTAGTCCTAGTAACCTAGTCCTAGGTTATTTTTTTGTTTGTTGATATTGTCTTGTGTGATCTCATCACATAGAGACCATGCGCTATGCAAATCCCCAACCATTACCGTACTATTAGCAGTGGCGTAGAGACAGGCAGTGCAGAAAGTGCAAAGCACTGGGGCAAAGGGCTGTTTGGGGTCCATTCATAAATAGGCTTAAAAATAATAATTAAAAATATGCTCCAACTTCATACTTTTGAGCAGAAATGGCCAGTTTTTGTTTACCATTTGTTTACCATTCATTAGTTTTGCCACTCTGACCAGCTATTTATTTATGCAAATTTGCTTATGTCGGACATAAGGCCTCCTTATAAACTATTGCTAGAGATTAGACCGTGTAACCTATTGTTTATAGATCTGGTGATTAGTCACCCATTGTATAGTCTTATGTATTCTGTTAAGTTTCTCATAGATACTCAAGCGCTGACGAAGGTAACAAGGAGTTACCGAAAATTTCGCAAATAAAATATTTCTATGTCTTCTACAAGTAAAAGTATCGTAGCAGTTTATTTTGTCTGCGTCTACCTATTGATTTATTCATATATACATTTATACATACAAATATAATAATAATATTAATAATAATAATTAGAATAATAATAATAATAATAATAATAATAATAATAATAATAATAATAATAATAATAATAATAATAATAATAATAACAAGATTTTTAAACCGCACAGATCCACTGCAGTAGTGCTCAAGGTACTACAGGAAGGAACAAAAAATTACCATGAACCTAAATCAACAAGAAAAGAAACACCACACCATCACCGCACCGTTTACAGGCAATTTAAGGCGCAGGGGCCCGCCTATTCATTACTCACAGGTGCTCAAGTAATGGGAGTATCTAACTAAAACGATTAAGCAAGCAAGCAAAACAAACCGGAGAACTAGGAAAAAGCAGCCGACAGCAGCGTCTTGAGAGCTTTTTTGAACAAGCAGTAGATGACACGAGCGAATATTTATTAGCAGTTTACTCCAAAGGCGTGGAGCCGCAACAGAAAATGATCGATCACCCCACAAACGTGTAGACCTAGGCTCAACAAGCAGAAGTTTGTCAGTACCAGAGCGGAGAGTTCGCGATGGCACGTACCATACAAGCAGTTCACGAAGATACCCAGGACCTTCATCTCTCTCAGTCTTAAAAGTAATGAGCAAAATCTTGAAAATGCTCCTGAAAGAAACAGGTAGCCAATGAAGTTCTTGTAGAATCGGTGTGATGTGCTCAAATTTCTTTGTTCCTGTAATGATCCTAGCAGATGTATTCTGCAACAGTTGGAGGCGGTGCATGGATCACAGAATGTTGCTACTCGGAGTTTCACGCTATTGCGATCGTCAGGCAACTGATATATATATATATATATATATATATATATATGAATTGTGGTATTTCTCGGGGCCCCCGTCGGGGGCACTATTATTTATCCCTATTATTCGAGCACTATTATTTATCCCTTTGTATAATATGTAATGTATATGTAATGATTTTACCACACTTTACAAAACTTTTGTTGCTGGCACAAATTTAAGAGTATGTATATATGAAAGACTAGTATTCCTATTATTATCAATATTAGTATAATGAACTCTGTGTTTGTGTTCTCGGTAATATCTGAAGGTCCGTTTATAAAGTCATGTGCTAGTGATATCACATCGTATGAAACCAATCCAGTCTGGGATTACCCGGAATCAATACAACCAGATCTGTCGTCTCCTGCACCTAATATGACGTGCTCGGACCAGCCTGGTACATCCTATGAATATGGTACAACGAATTATGTCACGTGTTCTGCAACAGACAAATATGGAAATTCTGCCTCTTGCTCCTTTAACATTTTTATAGGTAGGCCAATACAATCATAAATAATAATAATGATACTACCAGACCGACTACCGACTATTGGAAGATGATGATGATGATGCTGATAATTAGTAATAATAATAATAATAATAATAATAATAATAATAATAATAATAATAATAATAATAATAATAATAATAATAATAATAATAATAATAGGCCTAATAATAATATTAATAATAATAATAGTAAAAATAACAGGATGATAATTAATATTAATAATAATAATAATAACAATATTAAAACTTATAACAATAGCTATATTAGTCTGCCAAATCATACATCTCTATATTTATGTTTAGCTTCAGAATGCCTTAGGTCTATGTAAACATTTGAATCAAAAGTAGTGAAAATTATATGTTTGTTTTGTTTACAGTAAGCAAAACCCAAGCTGAAATTGCAAATCTTACAGCCAAGGTAATAATTGATAATAATAAATGTTTTACTATCATGCAAACAACGGAGTCAGATAATAGTATACATGTTGTTAATAAAAACTTAGATTTATTCTCCTGAGGAAGATTGAAGCAACTCAAACGAATCGTCGAGATATTCTCAACGAACAACATTTTTTTCAGAAGTATATACGTGGTGTAGCGCAAGCATTAATATATAAAACTTAGATTATTCTAAATATCTATTAAAAAATAGATGGAAGATTTATTGGTCAAACATTGATATGATACTGTATTTATTTGCTTTTGAAATTGGAAATTAATCAATTAATAATTGAATATGGATATTGAGATATTTAGAGAGCGTATTTGAACATAATAGTCGGAAGAATGAGAAATACGAAGAATAGGCATACGAGTACTCTTCCATATCCTCTGGGTTCTAACTACAGCCTTAACATCGACGCTGGTTCAATCTGCTCCTCGCATTCAGTACAGGCTTCGATAGTTAGAACCAAGCTTCTCAGATAATCTAGCCCGTGTACACTTTAAAGAACCCTTCATATCTTATGGAATTATGTAAAAATATGAAGCTAATCTTAAGCCGCGCCTCTCGGTTGCTACAGTAGGCCGACAGACCACGCCCATACGAAATTTAGCACAATGACGCTACGAGTTCTCATACCTTACCTTTTATTGTATCTGTAGAATGTTACTAATGAAAACGTGAACCAGGTAGCGACTGATCTGGAGAGTATCACCGAAGACCCAGAGGACTTAAGTTCAGAAGATATTGTAGTGGTAACCAATTTATTGGAGGACATTGTCTCGGTTGAATCTCCTGACGAAGAGGTAACTGACGTGTCTTTTAATACTGTATATTTAAATTTAAATGTCTGCCCTTCTCCCGAATGGAACAGTCTATACACTTCAACTAATGAAAACATTTTATTAGGCAAAGGCATGCAATAAGATAAAGGTGAATGGAAATGAAAGTAAATAACATGAAAATAATGAGAATATAAAAAAAAATAAAATTTAATAGTTTGCTATTAAATGATGTAAATACCTAATGTAACGTGATGTTAAATCTCTATGCCGTGAAGCGTCATGAAGGTTTATTCAAGCAGTAGACTAAATTAGGGTTTGTCTTTAGGTGATGTTGCTTCCTTTGGGTGGCTTTTTTCAACTTTTTGAAGCCAACTCCGAAAGTACAACCCATCAAAGTGTTTACATCCCTAAGTTATATGACTTTATTTTCATTTCAGAAACCATTTAATGTAACCATGCATGCAGTGGTGGCGACAGTGGGGGGGGGGGGGGCGCAAGGAGAATCCCTCCCTTTCAGACAGGCCTCTTTCCCCCCTCCTATCAAACAGGCCTCTTTTCCCCTCCTATCAGACAGGCCTCTTTCCCCCTCCCCAGTCAAAAATAACAATTTGCCTGTCCGAATAACGTTACTGATTGTCAATTCCTAATATTGTGGATTTTTTTTTTGGTTTGGGGGGGGGGGGACCCTGACTTGGGCCTAGTCGGCCACTTAGTTTGTACCCTTGTCGGAAAATTTCTGGAGCCACCCTGTATGTATGCCGATATATTAAAATGTTTCTCTTTTCTGAATAAAAAAGGTAACGGAGGCTGTTGTCGGAACTGTTGATAACCTCCTCCAGGGAGCGGAGGACGATGACGCTGAAATAACACCAGAAACGTCTGCATCCATTTTAAATTCATTAGAAGAGCAGTTGAATACTTCAGCCTCTGCTGGGTACAACGTAACACAAGACAAAGAAACACTTGGCGTTCAGACGCTAAGCGTGCGGAAACGGTCGTTGAATAATGGTATCACATTTGGAGTAAGCCAGACTGAAGACGGTAACCGGACTGTAGGGAATTCCATCAATAAAAACCAAGGCGAAAAATCAAATCCCGAGACGACTATCACTCTGCCACAATGGTTACTTGATGTCGGAGGGAGTAAGTTTAATATTACACAACTCTACAGTAGCTTTGGTGTAAACATCAGGGGCGGATCCAGAGATGTCCAAAAGCGGGGGGGGGGGGTGCGAAATTTGGGCCGATCGAGGCAACAATGTCCTAGGGGGTCCAGGGGCATGCCCCCGCAAAATTTTTGTGTTCTAGACGCCCGAAAATAACTTTTGAGGCGTTGTGGGCTATCAATTTTCTGACTGGGTTCTGTTTCTTAGCAGTTTCTTTCTTTACCCAGTCAGCAGTATTCTGACTGGGTTCTGTTTCCTAGAGTTTCTTTACCCAGTCAGCAGCAGCTACTGGGTTCTGTTTCTTAGCAGTTTCTTCTTTCTTTCTGGCAACATTTTAAAAGGCTACTAGTGGCAAATTACTGGACCGATTTAATTAAATCTTGGTCAGTAGGACCGGTGCCACCTCCCATTTATGTGTTGTTCACAACTTGAGGTGAAAGGTCACATAAGGGGCATTAGGGTCAAGAAACCAAAAATCGTATAAAAGACTACTTGTCTCACAAATAACGTAGCACAGTATTGTCCTTTGCACATATACATTGGCATAAGCCAGAGTCTATAGGGTGTTCAGGGATAAGGGGTCAAAGGTCATTAAGGGGTAATTTTCATCTTTTTTCTGGCAACATTTCATAACGCTACTAGCGCCAAACGGTTGTGCCGATTTCAACCAAACCTGGTCAGTATAATCGGTGACCCCTTTCATACATGGGGTGTTCACTGCTTGGGGTCAAAGGTCACATAGGGGTTATTAGGGTAAAATCCTTTAAAAAAAATGAATAAAAGACTTTTTCTGTCACAAACATCATAGCACTGTCTTGTCCTGGGCATATATGTATTGGCATAATGTAGGGTCTTATGGTGTTCAGCGATTTACGGTCAAAGGTCATTAAAGGGTTATTCTTTTGTTCTCTCTAGTAACATTTCAAAATGCTACCAATGTCAAACCATTGGACCAAATTCAATGAAATTTCGTCATTAAGAACCGGCGACACCTCCTACACCCCAGTCTAGGATCAGGGGTCACATAGGGGTCATCGGGGTTAAATTTTCAAAATAGCCCAATTGAGCTCAAATTTACCAGGAATGATCCTTAGGACCTTCTAAACATGAAAAATTACTCTTCACCTATAGGTCAAAAATCACAAGGGTCACTATAGTGAAAATTATCAAATATTGCTATAGTGACTAACCATTGGACCAATTACATTAGACAGACTCCTAATAAACATGGGGTGTTCACAGGTTGAGGTTAAAAGTCACAGTGGTTATCTCTTAAAAAATGACTGGGTTCATGTTATATTGAACATATCTCTAGTTTTTTTTTCTTTCTTTCTTTTTTTTTACCCCCCAAACGGGGAGGGGGCGGGGCCGGGCCGCTCCCCCCTAAATCAGCCCCTGAACATAGACACACCTCAATCAGTAATTATAACACTTGTATAAGAGACAGATATATATATATATATATATATATATCAAATTGTAAGGTATAATATTTTGTCTTATATTTCGTAGAACAATTAACGAACATTAGCTTCGCTGCATACTATAACGATGTCTTGTTTCCGGCGACCACCGTGCCTACACTCAACGTGTCAGATGTGATCATTTCTGCAACAATCTACGACAATAGCCACCCAGATGTCTTTAAAGAGCCTGTCCTCATACAATTTAATAGGGTAATGATGTGTTTTTTCACAATGTGATCTTGTGTCTTCTACTAATTTTCCAAGTTTTTGCAGCGATTTCTACATTTCGTTTCTCCACAATTTTTTCTACCAAAGTACTGTAACACATTAATTACAAATTAGTTTTTTTTTTTAGTACTCGAAAGCTGTTAACTTTACTTGCGTATACTGGGATGAAAATCTTGGTGCATATGGTGACTGGTCGACCATTGGCTGTGAGGGTGAAGCCGATATGCATAGCGTTACATGTAAATGTACACATTTAACAAGCTTTGCTGTCCTGGTATCCCGTCCAAATTATCTGGTAATTATTGAAAATATTGTGTCAAACAATGAATATACAATCAATGTTGAAATTAAACATAGCACCCTATGGTTCATAGCCTTGCACCTGATATGAATGAAACCCTAATAAAACACATGCTGTGCAATTTAAATGATTTTTAATTTTGTGTCATTTTGATTATAAAACATAGTCCTAATACCATGACTTTTACTACTATAAATAGTAGTAATGACCATATTAATAATGATGATGTTAATAGTAATGATGATGATAACAATAACATCAACAGCAACAACATTAAATTACATTACATCTATAACATTATTATTCATGCTACTACTATTAACAACAATTATTACTATCAGTGGTATTTACTGCAGTTACATAAGTATAAAAATGATAATTATTATTGTTATTATTAACTATTATTGTTATTATTAATTATTATGTTACTAAAACCCACCTTATGGGGAACTTAGACAATTGAGAAATTAGAGAACAATTAAAAAAACGACGTTAAGGGGAAAATAACAAAAGATATTGTCAATAAGTCCAACTTAACGCATATAATTTTATTATTATTCACCTTATCCCAACCACTCATCAATTCGAAAAATTCAGTCTGCAGACTCGCCTTCTAATTTTGATCTAATCTTGACGATTGTGACGTACGTAGGATGTGCTGTGTCGATAGTCTGTCTTATAATGACCATAGCAATTATTCTATCTCTAAAGTAAGTTACACGTAAATTCATATAATTGAACTTGTAATAACACTGTCCGTATCATTCTGCCTATTAGGCATATTGTGCCTACTATAATCTATATTCATTTGTACAAATCATCTTAATACATAGTCAGTAATGAGTCTATAATGAACGATAACAAAGGTGTAGGCTAATGCCTTTGGTAAAAACCACGAGAGGTTATGGCGTATAATTTAGAACGCAAACAGGGTTTGAATGGATCATGTAACTAGTTTAGCATAAATCCATGAATTTATACTTGTCAATACCAGTCTCTGTGCATGTGGTATTGTAGATTGTCCCGTCCTTTGGGATACCACCCAGTGGCGGATTCAATGCAGGCCCGCTTCCCCCATCCTTTAATTTTTCTACTTTATAAAACAAAAACGAAAATTATATTTAAATTATGTCTGAGTGTGCCATTTCCGGCCACCAGGTGCCATAATCATAAATTGTCTTACCTCAGCATGATAAACCATGCTGGACTGAGGTGAGTGTACCTTATATCTGTGGAAGTATTTACCTGGGCCCTGTCTATGCAGGCCCGTAGCCAGGGGGGGTTTTTATGGTTCGGGCGAACCCCCCTTTTCTAGCGAACCCCCCTGTTTTCTAGCGAACCCCCTCGAATTTTTGAATGAGTCCCACCCCGTTTTTAAATTTTAGCCTGCGATACAAGCCTACATTCATAGAATATCTCAGCTTCAGAAGTTTTGAGAAAATTAAAACGCAATTCCAGCAAACCATGACTTTACGATGGCACGCATAAGGATGGCAAACATCGATAAAAACCCGGTTGCCGTCTCAACTTTCACTGGCCTTTGGCTGAATGTTTGTAAGAAACTTACCAACCGGTAACGAAACCGTTCCCCGTCTACCTAGAGTAAATGGTGCCACCAAACGAAGCTAAAGTTTTGCGACTTCATCCACCAAATGCAGATAAAGTTCTGCGACTTAATCACCTAATTGTGGGTTGTGTGGTTAGTAAATTTCATAGCCATACTGTCCATAGCACACACTAAACTATGTGCTGATGGAACATTTTGGGGAAATGGACTCACCTTTTTTTTTTATCCCAAACAAAATAGTATTAATAAATCAACATAGTCATCTCAGTCATCATAGCACTACACTACAGAGCGGAGTGCGTCAAAACGAGTGTTTGTTAATTTTTAGTGATAAAGAATCATGAAACGTTGTAGAATAAACTGACTTTTTTTCGTCCGCTTTTGCAAAGAAGAAAACGACAGATAGTCCTGGTGGGTTATTGATTTTAAAATTAATTAGCCTAGCCTAGATGTTGACTAGCTAGGTTCGCTCCTCGTTCATTTAGATACAGAATTATACCCCGAGGACAAAAAACTAGTGTAGGCCTAGGCCTAAGTACAGTAGGATGTACGGTACTACAGGTAGGCCTAGTAGGCCTAGGCTTTTGTTGTAAAAGTTGAAGTGCATGTACAGGATGCGCCATAGGCCTATATTTAAAAAAATACATTTTGTTAATTATTATTGGTTGGCCTGAGACGGACCTAAGGCAGGCAGGCCAG